ACACTTTACAATAAGGCTCCCATTTGGCATTTATAAATATTTATTATTCATTAATAAATGGTTTTATGCTTTACACTTTACAATAAGGCTCCCATCTGGTATTTATAAATATTTATTATTCATTAATAAATGGTTTTATGCTTTACACTTTACAACAAAGCTCCGATTGATAGTTGTGGATATTTATAATGCATTTTTGAAGTACAATTTTATATGATAAAAAATATGTTTACAAATGCTGATTGTGCTTACAGGATAGTAACTTAGTCTGAAATGTTTAATATAGCAACTCTAGATGAAATATATAGGTGAACACATTTGGCTCACTATTTAGCAAGAAACCGGTCAGTTTTTTTCCTCTTTCTCACCCTTAACTAATGCATAATAAACCATTAATAATGGTTTATAAAGCATTTACAGATTAATTAATAATATAGCTATAAACTATTTATTAGCATCTATAAGGGGAGCCTTATTGTAAAGTGGTACCAATGCAAGTAATTTTATTTCAAATGTAATGTAATTACTGAATTGATTACAGTAATGCATTACTGTAATGTGTTAGTGAAAAATGTAATGTGATGAGCTGATGCGCTACAAAGTAATGTGATAATTTGTAATGTGTTACTTGTCTTAACACATTACAAATTATTACTTAAAACATTATTATATCTAATACAAAGTGATGTGTTACTTTGTAGCACACAAACACTGTCGTGGTTTGCACATTCTCCTAACAATTGAAGCCTGTTTAATTCTGAGAGAGTACACAAAGTTGGGCTGTGGCAGGAGGGACATCATTTTAAAAAAAACAACCCAAGAAACTAAAATCTAATTCCAAATCAAACATGTGGATCTGCTGTGGTAACCCCTGATGGATAAGGGAGCTTTTTAAGATCCAATAGTCCTTTGGTCCTCTTTGTCCAGTCGTCTCTTTCCTTTGTGGACTTTCAATGAAAGCTCACCTGAACCACCTTTATTACCAACGGTTCCTGAGACCAGACGTGTCTCATCATATGATTTTATGAAGTGTGACATAAGGGCCAAAGGTCACAAACATTCAATATTGGTTATCTAGCTTGTCCTGTGTGTATTCATTTCTCTGGATTCTGTAAATCCTTTAATGATGAGATGAACTATAAATCCTCAAATCCTTTGCAATTTCACATTGAACTATTTATCCCACACACTCTTTAATAGATTCTTAAGCATTGTTAAGCTCTTTTTCATTCTTAAATGTGTTTCTGGTATCAAGTTCAAAATGTATTTTATTTTTCTTTCATCAATCAGCAGCATTTTATCATCACTTATCTCTTTGCTTCTTCACGTTCTTCTTTAAGTTGCTCACATCATGGGTCACCAAATTGGATCATCTGCTTCTATCTCACCCTGTTCTTGGCATAGTTTTCTGTCAGGGCAACAATCTGCATGCCCTCCTCCACTGCACCCGTAAAACTCCTCTGTGGTCTTCTTCTTTTCTTCTTGTCTGACACCTCCATAGTTAACAGCCCTTGTGCAGTATATTCACTGTCCCTCTTCTGCGCATGTCCAAACCATTTCACCCTTGTCTCTTTGTCCCCAAAAGACTCGAGCTGAGGTGTCTCTCAGATATACTCATCTTAGCAACTCTGCCACGTCCAGCTTTGCCTCTTGTCTTTTTATCTTTATACTGTATTTTCCGATAAATGTAGGGATCTAAATGTTTTGAAAGTCATTGCATTTTGTTAATTATACACACGCACACATATGTTAGTGAGCACATCTAATTGAGAAAATACTTTCCCTAGCTGCCTACCCTAACTCTAACCTTCAAAAACAATTGCCTAGCCCTGATCCTTAACCTAAACGTAACCATAACCTAATTGTAACTAAAACCACATTTGAGCCTCAAAAATGCCTTCAAACTTGTGGGGATGGGCATTTTGTTCCCATAAGTGACTGTTGGTCCCCGCAAGTATGGTAGCATGCCAATTTTCTGTCCTCACAAAGATGTCTAAACATGTACACACATACACAAACACACACATGGTGAAAACAACACCAATGTTATCAGAGACTAACACTCCGCAGCACTTACTTGAACGTGTTTACAGCCAGACACCATAAAAAGGCAGCGTTATCTCACTTTTAACATATCTAGATGTCTATAAACTGGATTTCAGTTACTGTGTGTATGCGTGCATGTGTGTGTGTGCATGTGTCTTATTACATTTTGTGTATTGTGTGTGTTGAGGAGTTATCTGTTCTGCTGCCCTTCAGTATGCAGTTGTCACTCTTCCAATTGTTATTTCTCTCTTTAAGATCTCTGCAAATCACCATGTATTTAATTTATTGGCTTACTGGTTTATCTTTTCATTTGTCCACATAAGCATGTCTGCCTGATGTTATCCCAAAAGTCTAATCTCTGTGGGAAAGCTGTGCATAGCCTCAAAATATTCACAACAGACAAATCATCAGAAACATTAAACTGTCTCTAATGACTTATCTAAATAAATAAACATCAAAGTTTAATAAGAATAACTTCATACACCAGAAGTCAATTGCCAAGCTGATTGTAAGTAAATACAGAAACATACAAATTCTTTGCTGTTAATCTGCTCATGTACTCATATTAAGTGGTATTAGAGACAACCACTTCATCTATTATGAAATGGCATTTTCTGCTTATATAATGATGTTTTAACTGGGCTCAATTTTACTTACAGTGCTTTCATAAGTGGGCACAGGGAGGGCACGGAGGTCAGAAACCATAAATTCAAACCCACAATGTCTGTCCTGAGACAAACTGTCGAACATAAATTGGGCAAATGAGTGTCTTTAGGCACGTATTAGTTATCTCTTACAGAAAGTAAACTCAAGCAAACCTTAACAATATGCCTGAAGGACTTGGGTTGGCTGTTGAATCATGGTCACAACAGCCTAGCAGCCCCAGTGCACTCTTAGAGGCTGTTTCTGTGAGATTAATTAACTATGTGGTATATTAGTTAATGTTAACAGAATACAAAACATGAAGAAGAAATGAAGACATGCAGTTTACATAACTGTATATAATCCCGAACATCTTTCACCAGAGAATAAAGTAGATCCGATTTTAGACCAACATGCTAAAAAAAAGGTTTTATATAAATCTCATACTTATTTCTAATGTACAAACATTGTTTATCAACATTATTAAAATGCCAGAAATTTATTTTCACATTTAAATTGATAAGAAATAAAATATCCTTGAACAAAACAAATATTTCCTCCTGTTTGTGCATAATAAATAACATTTACATAAATTCCTGGAATATAAATACAATAGGACAACATTTGATTGTGTAATAATTACTTGTGTTGATTCATTTTCATAAAACAGAACTATTGATTGTAGATAAAGAGTAACTTTACTTTAGGCTAGCTAATAAAATTAAAGTGATCTTTAAAGACTCGTTAAGGCTTGTTTTTCCACAGTAACAATGCTTTTTTTAAAAGTCCATTTAGTACTTCTTTGAATCTTTATAGAAACAATTCAAAGACGAAAACAGTTGTTTTTTTCTGTATGCTGTCTCTCACTTGTTATTACTGTGTGCAAAAATTTGCTTGTCATATTGCATATGATCTTTAAATAACTTAATCCCCCAAACTTTCAATTATTTGTGGCACAACACTGAGGTACAGTAGAGCATAATCTAACTGAACTCCTCTGGAATCTGTCCTGGTATCCTGAAACCAGTCTGCCCAGTACAATCCAGAGTGCCTCCAGAACTGGGAGTAGCAAAGCTTGGACGTGTCTCTAAACTGCAGCTGGTCCTGTTGAGAAACTGCAAGAAGTTCTCATGACCCGAGCCCTCCTGGCTGGACGCTGGCAATTCCATTGGCCGAGTCGAGTAGCAGCGCCTTAGTTTACAAAGCTCTTCCCTAATCTGCCGATTTAGAAGCCCATAGAAAAAAGGGTTAATAGCAAATGACGAATATGCCAGCCAGGTGACAGTTTCCTCCAGGTCGTCGGGGATCTGGGGTGTTGCATCAAGTATCAAATGAAGGTGGAAGGCAAAATAAGGCAGCCAGCAGATTAGAAACTGCCCAACAATGACCACCAGAGTAAGAGCAGCCTTACCACCCCCGAAAGGCCGGTCTCGGGTAATCCTGCGTGGGGCATTGCGAGTTGTAATGATGGTAGTCTGACTGTTTATTGAGTCAGAGCGATGCTTCAGTTGACTGTTTGTCCAGGAGGGCAGAGGTCCATGTTGCCGGGCAGCCACACGGGCCACTTTGTAGATATTACAGTAGACAGCAAAAATCACAACTGCTGGCAGACAGAAACAGGTGACACTGAAGAGCACAGAGAAAATACGCCTGTGGTCACTGTTGCTCCAGTACAGTGAGCAGTGTGCTGCACTGACGGAGGTCAGGCTGCCATAAGACGGCCATCCAAACACAGTAGACAATCCCAGCCCTGCAGAAGCGACCCACACTATCACCATCACAGCTGCAGTCAGCTTCAGCGTCATCTTGACCTCATATCGCATGGGGTGAACAATGTAGTAATAACGCTCCACGCTAATAGCTGTGATGGTGAAGATGGAGGCTGCTATGAGGATTACATTGAGGAAGACATAGATCTGGCACTCCAGCACAGTGAACACCACACCAGCAAAGTACCCCGAGCTGGACACAATGCCGAGTGGCATGATCAAGATGGCACACAGAAGGTCCACTGCACAAAGATGGCACAAAAATACAAATTTCCTGAGATGAGGGGCTTTGATGACAACCACAAGAACAGCAGTGTTGGCCAGAAGTGCAAGAAAATTTAGGGTCACCATGAAAAATAATCCCATGAGGTCCTTGAGACGTGTTTGTGGGCTGGGAACATTTCCTAAGTGTCTGCTGGGTGCAGAAGGCTCTATTGGCCAAGCGGCAGTGCTTTCATTGTACTCAGTCACAAATGAACTGTTCTCTTCCATGATTCATAATAAAGAACGAGTTAAGATCTGTATTCCAGTGGCTCCCATTGTTAAGCGACGAAGCTAAAAAGTTCTTCAGACATCAAAAGAAATACACCTCACTTCTGTAAAGACAAAATGAAGAAAAGGATAAATATATCAATGGCAAATTTTGCATCTTTTCATTTGCATCAGATGGCTTTACTTTTGCACAATGGAAACACTTTCTAGTAAAGCATTACGTATTATTTCGCAAATTTGGAGCTACTTTCCAATAAGTTTTGCTAAATCCTCGTCTGTATTCACCCAGAAGTTGCTCATTTTATCTGCACTGAGCCCTTTGTAATTTGTCTCAAACAGTTACCTGCTTTAGCTTAAAATGACGATGGTAGTTGAGGGCAAACTAAAACAGAACAGCTTTAGGCTGAAAATCTTTAAAATGCTCTCCAGAGCTCAGATAGCCTGCAGCTGGGTGATAATTGTTTGCAGGTCCTTTGATAGGAACGGGCCTTTTCACAAGTAGCTATATTGATTACAGTAAGGACAAAGAATGTTAACAATACACGCTATAAGTTACACAAAGCACTGTTAAGGGGGTTATTTAATACCTATTAGATCATTTCTGAATGATAAATTCTAAACATCTTTCCAACTTTAAACCTGCATTCCTAAAGCCATATGTAGTCTCAAGGCATGAGTTGAGATAACCCTAATGACATCACAACAATGGCATTAGCCATTTAAAAAAAGCACATCCAGAGCCACAGAAGGCATTACATACAACAGTTTTTAACGTACAATATTACATTTATTGTCAAATTGATCATAACTCATCACACTAACTGTATCTGACATACTCTGCAGTGTGATATATAAATACAAACATCCAGGAGTACTCACTACAACCTTCATCAAAACACACAGACGTTCACCTTATTAGTTAGGCTGTTTATGCCATTTTGTATCTATAGTGAGGGAGAAACATGATCAATGGGAATAATTCATGGAGGACACTGTGTTTCTCCTCCATCCATCCCCATCCTTTAGAAATGAAAGATAATGAGCGTGCTTGTTTTAGCCCAGCTGCAGTGAACTGCCTGCATTGATTAGTATGTGTTCAGTGTCACCCTTCACCATACCATCAAAGAGGAGACCTTAAACCAGAACACGCCTGACCCCTAATCACCGAGCAATCTAGAAATAGTATATAAAACAATGTAACAAATGTAACATTAATCCGTTTACATTTACTTTCACGTCTGTGCTGCCCTTCATGTGCCTCCCCCATAAATGTATCTAACTATCTTGTTCTGATAATCATAATCAGGTTTCAGGCTGTGGAGGACGCTGTGTCCTAAATACATGTGCTCTCTATCCACTGGTTATCCACTGATTCTCTCTGCCGCTGTAATCTTCTATGGTGGACAGCTATTGGCATGCCACGTTTGCACTGAGATTTATCCCCAGGAAGGACTAGTACATGTACATTCTCATACACATTATGTAAGGCTGTCCTCGTTCTCATCATGTTCCAGTTGCAGCCCAGCATGTGATGTTCTTCAGTCCACAAATGACTTCTGAACAGGTTTACCTTTTCTAGCCACTGCTCAGTTTCACTTTATTTGATTCTCCAAAACATTTGTAGTTATTTTACATTTATGTTTAATACTTCTGTCTGATTTTATCGCTCCTCTTGGTTTTTCAAATAAATCCTTTTTAAAAGCCAAAAAAGGTCTTAAGAACCATTTTGATGTATTTAAGCTTGCATAATGTTAGTGATGAGCATTTATTCCATTATCTGACTTTTCTGTTGAATTTGAATTGCACAAATAGGTTTTAAAGAGTTCAAACTTAACGCAAGAAACTGAAAGTGTTGACCAATTTTAATTAGATTTAAAAATGAGGTCTCCAATAACTGTTAACTCAGCTCATTCTGATACAAAATGAATGACACTTCAACATGCAGCTGCAAAATTCCATCCATGTGCTACAGGATGTTGAAATGCTGAAAGTTCATAAGTTTAGGTTAATAATTTCATTCATTCATTCATTATAATAAATTCTCTAGAAGGCAACATTTCATCAGCTTGTAATGTACTTGGACTTTGTGGGTTTTAAATGTGTAGTGAACCCTATGAATTGATGCACAGTTATATTCTTAACTAGCATCATCTATCCAGTTTTTCTGAATGACATAATTTGAGAGACTTTTTTATTTCTGGCATGGCTCAACTTGGTGTTAAACTTGCTCAACTTTAAGAAAAAAACCATTAAGGCAGTGTCAGTGAAATCTGCAGTGTTACACAAACGTCTCAGTCATTTGATCTGATAGAACAAAATAAATCAATGAAATAAGTAAATATGAAAGTGAAATGCTTTACTTTACTTTGCATTTTACTTTAAGCAATGAACCAAACAAATAGAATAATATATATTCTTTCACATCATAGTTAAGTGTTATATAATCAAATAGCTATATACTTACATCAAAGCACTTTCATTTTGAAAATTGGTCCTTAAAAAGTTCTTGTAAACTAGAAATCTTCCAAAACACTCTGATATTTCAGAAACTTTGAAAAGCATCAAATTCAGTACTCAGGTGTTGCTGCAGGTGCATAATGGTCCACCGGGAACTATCCTGCTGTGTTGCAACTTATCATGAAAACAGCTGATTTCCGACAGGAAAAAAAAGGCTTTTGAGGCTTGACAGAGGACCCCTGGGAGGACTGAGGGTATCGGAGAGAGGTGATGTGCTGTGAGTCCACTGAGGCAGCCCAGCTAGCCCGAGGGAAGGGGGGGGGGCGAGGAGCCAGCCTTTGGTTGTTCAAATCACATCTTTCAAGCGAAGATGACTGCATCAAACCGCCTCCCACTGACATTAACCATGTCCCACACACACTGTCGTTCATCAGTCAGTCAGTATGTGGCTGTGACTGTTACACACTGTTCTTGTTCTTACACTTGCTCCTCTATTCTCTTCATAGCTCCAGAGAACGAGGACACTGGTGTATTGCTTGAATGTAATGACTCATTTACCATTTAACACACAGTACTTCCTTAATTTAGTTAACCGAGTTTCTTTCTTTTCTTTTTTTGTTTACTTAAGTAACAGTCACCTTTCAGCGGAGTAGATCAATACTACAACAGGGGAAACAGGGGTCAGTACTGACATCTGTTGGCTGAGGAGGAAACAATACTGTAGGTTACTGTGCTGATGGAAGAAAGATTCAAATAACTGAAAAAATATCAGCTGCAAAACTTTATTGTTTGTTAGAGTGAAGCACAGAAAACACATGACAAACATTTTGAAACAGTTATCACATACAGTATACCTTGAAATTACCTGCAATGCACAAGTTGGAATGAACAACAGGGCAAAAGTGAGATCCCTGTCCTACTCACACGTGTAAAGGTCAGCTGACTGACTGATTCTAGCTTAAAAGGTTATTAACTTATAACCACTCTCTTAAATACAGTAAGAAAACCTAAATAAGAACACTTGTTTACAGTATTAATGATTACATATGTGGCAGTGTATAGCGCTATCGAACGTCTGGGTGTGGACACCATGTGACACTCAAGGTGAAAACAATCTAACAGACATTAACTGCTGTCAACGTAAAAATATAAATACTTATCATTCTTAAAAAATAAAGAACTAGATTTTAATGCTGAATGAACTATAGTGGATAAAAAAGGCAATCTGTGACCTATTTCTATCAGACATGAAATACGTGTGACCAACGGATGAAGACAGAGGTGAAGGACTATAACTGAGAGTCACTTGTCATTGCTCCGTCGTCGGGCAGAAGCGAGGCATCTTGGCAAAAGCTTTGCTCAGCATTAGCTCTGTTTTCTGTTTTACCCAACCCCAGTCTCTTCTTCAATAATTTATCCTCATTGTTCAACTTTGTGCGGATTGCGGTTTTTATTTGGCTGCTGTCAACACTGAACTTGGCTGCCACATGATCTGCAGGAAAGAAACAGAAACCTCTGGTTATCAAATTAGTACGTACGGTGGTGTGAAAAAGTGTTTGCCTTCTTCCTGATTTTCTAGTGTTTTGCATATTTGTCACACCTCTATGTTTCAGATCTGTTTCAGAAGTAATGCCCCCTCTTGTTAAATCACAAATTTACTATGATTATTGTTTTGTTAATCATTGTTTTGGAAAGTGTTTTACTACAGACACCCAGGCCTGAATACTGGCAGACCTGTTGAATCAAGAAATCACTTGAGAAACAAAGTCAGAGATATTCATCAGTCTGGAAAGGGTTACAAAGACATTTCTAAGGCTTTGGGACTCCAGTGAACCAGAGTGAGAGCCATTACACACAAATGGAAAAACTTGGAAAAGTGGTGAAGCTTCCCAGCAGTGACTGGCCTACCAAGATTACTCCAAGAGCACACCAATGACTCATCCAGGACAACATTATGGAACCACAAGCTTCACATGTCTCAGTTAAGGTCAGAGTTCATGATTCAACAATAATAAAGAGACTGGGCAAAAATGCCATCCATGGGAGAGTTCAAGGAGAAAACCACTGCTGACCAAAAAGAACACAAAGACTCGGCTCATATTTGCCAGGAAACATCTTTATGTTCCTCAAGACTTTGGGGGAAATACTCTGTGGACTGACAAGAACAAATGCTGACATTTTTAGAAGCATGTGTCCCATTGCATCTTCATCTCATCTTTCATTTCAGAAAAGGATCATACTGGCAGTAAAATATAGTGGTGGCAGTGTGATGGTCTGGGGCTGTTTTGCTGCTTTAGGACCTGGAAGACTTGCTGTGATAAATGGAACCATGAATTCTATGGCATTATTTTTGTGCCACTATTCTGAGCGCACGGGGAAAAAAAAATTTGAGCGCACGTAAAAAAAAGTTTGCAGGTGCAAGTGTTGCATTTTGAGGAGAAATTTATTTTGAGCGAAGAAAAGCTAAATTTGAGTGAACAAAACTCATTGCTGCGTGCAAAAAAAAAATTATTTCAGTGTTTGCTATTATCCACACACACACAAACACACAATAGCAGCCCCTCGCTCAGTTTTTGCATTTGCGCTTGCTCGCAACGTGTTGCTCGCGCTCTCAACGTGTTGCTCGCGCTCTCAACGTGTTGCTCGCGCTCTCAACGTGTTGCTC